TCCTCCCTGGACTGACCTATCCCCTTCCTAACTCCCTACCTACACTCACCTTTCCTGGCCCCATCCCCGCCTCTTCGACCTGTTTGTTTCCTCTCCACCTATCCTCTCCTCTATCCCTCTTCTATCCGCCTCCCACTCTCTCCCTATTTATTTCAAAACCCCCTTCCCCTCCCCCTTTCTGATGAAGGGTCTAGGCCCGAAACGTCAGCCTCTCTGCTCCTATGATGCTGTTTGGCCTGCTGTGTTCATCCAGCCCTGCACCTTGTTATATCTTAGTGATGTCTATCTTATCTTCACTTACAATAATCAGTTCATTCATGTGCACCCACACACAGACAAGCACATGCGATGGACTTTTTTTTGCTATCTGCCATGTTTCCATCAAATATGGTAAGAATGCAGATGAATGGAACTGTACAAAGTCAATTCCCAAAGTAATACTCAATTTTAGTAGAGATAAAATGATAAAGATGTAATTTCTGAGCCATGCTCAAAGTTTATTCTTATATTGTGACATTTACATCAATGCACACTCAACAGGGAACCATATTACTGAATGTGTATAACACGTTGTTCACTTGAAAGTATTTTCTGAGCTGAACGTGGGTTACTTGGGAGAACAGAGAAGATTAATGAAATCAGTAACACTGAAACTCACTTTGCCAGACTAAAACCTAACGTTTTAATTACTAAGGTATTCAAACCAACGTTATCTCAATTGTCTCAGTTAGTGTAACTCAATGATGTGTGGTATCATAAGACTACCTGCAGTATACACTGGATCTTTTAGCAAATATGGAAAATTTCCAATGTTCGCTACAAGTAAAAACATAAAGATTCTTCATGCACATGCACATGTTAACTATTGATCTGCAAAAATCTTTGAGTTATAACTGAAATATTGCATGACAGTAAAATCTACATCTGTAATACTTATACATACACCTGATTTACCTTCCCAGTGCCAGGGTAGCATCAGTGAACTATATCCATGTGGCTATGCGATGGTGCCACTGACCAAGTGATGTTTGCTTTCGATCCATGAGAAGGAAATGAATAATGTGTTTTCATGGCCAATAAAAGATTGCAGCTAAACAGTGTGTGACATTTTGGGCAGTAGGAATGATAAGTGGGACAATATGCAACTGCCGTGGGGAATGAGGAGGAATACTACTATTGTAAATGACAATGGTGTCTACCTGAGCCACCATGTTGTAAAGTTGCATGCAGCACTGCCATTTTGTTGTAAATCTTGGTTTCTGATGGCACCAGTTGGGATATCTTTGGATAGATTTGTTGCCACCAATCCTGCTAGATTCAGCCAAGCTATTGATAACATGTGAACAAGGATGGCAACATGATGCCTCCAGCAGGAGTTAAGTTTTGTTTTCTTTAAACTGTAAAGGTTCATTACACACGATTCAGTAGCTAGTTATGTTACATCTAATATACATGATTGTCTCTAATGAGACATCAGGCTCGATGAAGAGTGAATACACATTACTACTTTAGTTATATGATGTTAACACTAAGAATAATCATTGAAGAACTATATGCATACTTCTGAACACATGGAGAACTGGTAGGATGGATACATAAGTCTGTTTAGCACCTCCCAGGAGGAGTCTTTTACACCCCATTGGGAGAAGCTTATCTTATGATGTCACTTAATCCTTGCACCTACTCAATTAAACTCATACAACATTTGGGACACCAAGACACAATACCAGACTAAACTAGAGTCCTAGACTGACCACATGAACACGCGTCGACTGTGGCAAGGCTTACACGATATTATGGGCTACAACACAAAGTCGAGGAAAATTGCTGACAACAATGCATTCCTCCCCACTCATCTCAATGCATTCTATGCACATTTTGAAATGTCAGTGAAATGATGTTACCTGCCCCAACAGCCTCGGCTGCACCTGTACCCACAATCACCGTGCAGATCTCAGATTGGCCTTCAAGAGTGAACCCTCACGGAAAGCGACTGGCCTGGATGGAGGCCTGCCGCACACTCAGACCCCGCATGGACCAACAGCATGAGTATTTGCAGACAAATTTTACCTTTCCTTGCTCTGATGTAAGGATCTCACCTGCTTCAAGAAGACCACGATCATCCCAGTGCCAAACGAAAATTCAGGCAATATGCCAAAATGACTATTGCCTGGTGGCTGTGACATCCATCATTATGAAGTGCTTCGAGAAGTTAGTAATGGCACACATCAGCTCCAGCCTCCCAGATTGCCTCAATCTGCTACAAACTGTCCACCATCACAACAGGCTACGGCAGACATCATCTCCCTGGAACATTTGGAAAACGAGGATACCTGCATCAGACTCCTATTTATTGACTTTAGCTCTGCCTTCAACATCATAATTCCAACCAAATTCATCCACAAGCTCCGAGATCAAGGACTCTGCTCACCCCCTCTGCAACTGGATCCTTGTCTCCCTGAACCCAGACCGCAATTAGTAAGGATAGGCAACAACATGTCCTTCACAACACCAGTGCCCCACAAGGCTGTGTACTCAGCCCCTCCCTATACTCTGTATATACACTCATGACTGTGGCTAAATTCAGCTCTAACTCCATTTACAAATTTGTTGATAACATCACCGTGGTGGGTTGAATTTCAAACAACGACGAGACAGAGTACAGGAAGGAAATAGACAGCTTAGTGTCATGGTGTAATGATACAAATCTCTCCATCAATGTCAGCAAAATGGAGGAGCTGGTCATTGACTTCAGGAAGCCGAGTGGAGGACACCCACCTGTCTGTATCAATGGTGCTGAGGTGGAGATGTTTGAGAGCTTCAAGTTCCTAGGAGTAAATATCACTAACAATCTGTCCTGATCCTTCCATGTTGACACTACAATCAAGAAAATACACCAATACCTCTACTTCCTCAGAAGGCTAAGAAAATTAGGCATGTCCACAATGACTCTTACCAATTTTTATAGATGCACCATAGAAAGCATCCTATCCAGATATATCACAGCTTGGTAAGGCAACTCCTTTGCCCAAGACCATAAAAAATTATAGAGAGTTGTGAACACAGCCCAGTCCATTATGAAAACCAGCCTTCCTTCCATTGATTCCATCTAAGCTTCCAGCCAACATAATCGAAAACCCCTCCCACCCTTGTTAAACTCTCTTCCACCTTCTTTCATCAGGCAGAACATACAAAAGTTTTAAAACACATATCAACAGATTCAAGAACAGCTTCTTCCCTGCTGTTATCAGACTTATGAATGGGTTTCTCATATACGAGAGTTGATCTTCTCTGCACCTTCTCTGTAGCTGTAACACTATATTCTGCATTCTGTTCTATTACCCTGATGCGCTTGTGTAAGGTCTGATTTGTCTGGATGCGTGCAAAACAATACTTTTCACTGTATCTCGTT